TATTTGTATAATGTCTATAATAGTTCTAAGTCTATTTAATTTTAAAATTTTGTGTATTATCTTCAATACTAAAGAAGCTCCTAAAATGTAGGATCCTGTTCTTTCAATTGCAAAGAAAGAGGAATTACCACTGCCATTACACTCAATAATGCCATTTTTGTCACTGGTATTCTCCCATTCATTCATTTTATAATATGCTGCCAGTTGATTTTTCCTGCACCACAATGTCCATCACATCATTCTTGCATTATTTTCTGATCTGGGAAATCACCTAGAACCACTAATAGACCTATTAAATTTGATATGCATTATGGCAGAACCCTCAATAGCATTCTCAAATGCTGGAATTTTTATATCTGTTTAGTGTGGGCTAGAAACAGAATGAGTATTAGAAATTCAACATAACATTTTCCTTATTTTCCTTCAAAATTTTAAAATGCAAACTTTTCATTCTATGGTTAATTTCAATTACCAGTGACTTCACAATTATTAGGTTCTTGGGTTAATACACTCAGGATAAACATCAGTAAGCAGAACAAAATTTGGCTAATCCAAGTATATTCTGCCAAACAGAAATCCCTTTTAAAAAACACCATACACCATCACAAGTATTTCCTAACCATACCCAGCAATGCAAAATGTATAAAACACACATACATAAAGAAATTTAAATGATCTCAGTAAGGTTCATTTTGCATTAGATGTTTTCCACACAAAAGACCATTTAGTATGTAACTAATTGCTTATAAATTATTAACTGCTAATTTCTAATTATCTGTGTGTATATTACCCATCACAATCTTTAAGCTCAAGATAGTTTTTCCCTGAAATTGAACATATTTCTAGACTCACTCCTTGCTTTGTTAGTTGTGTGTGTGTGTGTGTGTGTTTAGTAAGGGTTGCTTTACTTCTCTGCTCAGTGGATTATTAGCAGTGGATTATTTATACTTAAGACCACCTAGGAGGCCAGTGCTGTGGCATAGTGGTTAAAGCCACCGCCTGCACTAAGGACTTCCCATATGGGCACTAGTTCAAGACCTGGCTGCTCCTCTTCCAATCTAGCTCTCTACTATGGCCTGGGAAAGCAGTTGAAGGTGGCCCGAGTGCTTGGGCCCCTGAACCTGCATGGGAGACCCAGAAGAGTCTCCTGACTTTGGATCAGCCAAGCTCTGGCCCTTGTGACCTTTGGGGAGTGAACCAGCAGATGGAAGATCTTTCTCTGTCTACCTCTCAATTAAAAAAAATCACCTGGATTGGACCAATGCTGGGTACCTGTTTGAGTCCTAGCTGCTTCATTTCCAATCCAGCTACCTGCTAATTGCCTGGGAAAAGCAGCGGAAGATGATCCAAGTGTTTGGGCCTCCGCCACTTATGTGGAAGACCTAGATGAAGTTCCTGGCTTCTTGTGGCCATCTGGAGAGTGAATCAGTGGATGGAAGATCTCTTTATCTACTTCACCTTCTCTCTCTCTCCCTCTCTCTCTCTCTGTAAATGACTTTTTTTTTATAGAAGGCTTTTATTTAATGAATACAAATTCCATATGTACAGCTTTTAGGAATATAGTGGTTCTTCCCCCATTTCCTGCCCTCCCACCCCCATTCCTACCCCACCTCCTACTCCCTCTCCCATTCCATTTTTCATTGATTCATTTTAATTGATTTTATATACAGAAGACCAACTGTATACTAAGTAGAAACTTCAACTGTTTGTACCCACACAGACACACAAAATATAAAGTACAATTTGAGGACAAGTTTTACCGTTTGATTTTATATACAAACGACCAACTCCATGTTAAGCACCGATTTCAGCAGTTTGCACCACTCCCCCCGCCCACACACAGCATATAGAATACAGTTTGAGAACAAGATTTGCAGTTAATTCTCATAGTACACCTCATTAAGGACAGAGGTCCAACACAAGGAGTAAGTGCACAGTGACTCTTGTCATTGATTTAACAATTAACAATCTTATTTTTTATGTCAGTGACCACCTGAGGCTCTTGACATAAGCTGCCAAGGCTATAGAAGTTTTCTGAGTCCGTAAACTCTATCAGTATTTAAATAGGGTCATATGCAAAATGGAAATTCTCTCCTCCCTTCAGAGAAAAGTACAACCTTTTTTGATGGCCCCTTCTTTCCACTGGGGTCTCACTCACAGAGATCTTTCATGCAGAACAGTTTTTGTCACTATGACTTGGCTTTCCATGCCTGAAATGTTCCCATGGGATTTTCAGCTGGATCCTAATGCCTTAGGGGTTGATTCTGAGGTCAGAGTGATGTTTAGGGCATTTGTCGTTCTAAGAGTCTGCCATGTGGACTGCTTTCCATGTTTGAACTTTGTCTCCTTTGTAATTCTATCTATTGTTTTTACCAGATACTTGGTCTTATTTATGTGATCCCTTTGACTTTTAATCCTATTTATATGATCAATTCCACACTTAACATGATCACTTTAACACATAAAATGGGATTAGTACCACCCAGCTTAATGGGATTTGGAATCCCATGGCAAGTTTTTAGCTTCACCCTTAGGGGTAAGTCTGTGGGAATGTGTGCCGAATTGTACAGCTCCTCCCTCTTTTATTACCACTCTTATTTTTAACTGGGATCTATTTTCAATTGACTTAATACACCTATGATTAACTCTATGTTAAGTACAGAGTTCAACCAATGGTATTAAGTAGGAAAAAAAGAATAAATAAAAAAATGAAATAATAAACTGTTCCTCTGACAGTCAAGACAGGGGCTGTTCAAGTAATTGCTTTTTGTAGTGTCAGTTTCACTTCTATAGGTTACTTTTTAGGTGCTCTATTAGTTATCACAGAGCAGGGAGAACATATGGTATTTGTCCCTTTTGGGACTGGTTTATTTCACTAAGTATAACGTTTTCCAGATTCATCCATTTAGCTGCAAATGGCCAGATTTTTTTTTAACCTCTGTGTAGTATTCCATAGAGTACATATCCCATAGTTTCTTTATCCAGTCTTCTGTTGGTGGGCATTTAGGTTGATTCCATGTCTTAGTATTGTGAATTGAGCTGCAATAAACATAAAGGTCCAGATGACTCTTTTATTTGCTGATTTCATTTCCTTTGGGTAAATTCCGAGGAGTGGGATGTGTGGGTCATATGGTAGGGCTATATTCAGTTTTCTGAGTTATCTCCAAACTGTCTTCCTTAGTGGCTTTGCCAGTTTGCATTCCTACCAAACAATGGATTAGGGTACCTTTTTCCCCACATCCTTGCTAGTATGTGTTATTTGTTGATTTCTGTATGAAAGCCATTCTAACTGGGGTGAGGTGAAGCCTCATTATAGTTTTTATCTGCATCACCCTGATGGCTAGTGATCCTGAGCATTTTTTCATGTGTCTGTTGGCCATTTGGATTTCCTTTTTTGAGAAATGTCTGTTTAAGTTCTTTGCCCACTTCTTGCCTGGGTTGTATAACTCTTTCAAAATAAATAAATATATAATTTTGTTAAAAAGTCACCTAAGTTTCACTTTTCAATAAAAACATAATGAATACTATATAGCTTGCATCTTACTAGGAACAATCTGATATAAAAATATAATGAGATAATTCTGTGTGTTCATTAAATTATGATTGAATATTTGAGTATTGTTTTCTTCCCAAAAGTTCATGTATTTGAGACTTATTCCCCAGGATGGTGAGACTATTGTTGAAACTTTTAAGAGGTGAGGCCTAGCAAAGAGCCTTAGGTCATGGGAGAACTGCTTTTAGAAGGGAATGCTGGAAAGCTAGGGTTTTTTTGTTGTTGTTGTTGTTTGCTTGTTTGTTTTAAATACAGACCTATGAACATTGATTTTTATTTTTTATTGCATTCTTTGTTGGTTTTTGTTCTCTAGCCTCTTTTTTGTTTTTAAATTTTTAAACTTACATAAGGTTAACAAATTTCATGTATTTCATATATACAGATATAAGAGCATAGTGATACTTCCCATCATACCCTTCCTCATGACCACTTTCCCACCCTCTCTCCTCCTCCCTTTCTTTTTAAAATTTTTACAGTAACATACTTTCATTTTATTTAGTTCTTATAAAAACCTGAGACAGAACCCTAGGTCTGACTTCTTCTTTGGCAATATGACTGCTCCCTTCCTCTACCACTGTTCCTACCACTGCAATATGTTTTGAGATGATGAGGAAGGAAGGGGTTCCTTGATGTTTGCCAAAACTGTAAACTAAACACACCTTCTTTCTTCATAAGTAGGCTGCCTCAGGTATTTTGTTTTGGTAACAAAAAGCTGACTAATTCTGTGATGTCATAGCTGTCAATAACCTTGGAACTCTTAAGCCAGTTACTATTTTAAGTAATTTTCCTTTAATTTTCATGAAAACATAGGAAATATATTCATTTTTACCTTCATTTTAACATTTCATTAAACCAAGGTGTAGAGAAGGCTCCATAGCAAATAAAAGGCCGAACTGATTTTCAAACCCAGGACAGCATGGTTTCAGAGCCTCAAAAGTTAACCACTAGAGCATACTACTGTCTTCCTTCTTACTGAGGTGAACACACATAAATGGTGCCCCCACATCTCTCATTTATCTGAGGAAAACTAAAATGACAGTTGTCCTTAATTCTTTGCTAACACTGCCTATTCTGACAGCATATTCTTGAGTTATATGCCCTTCCTTTCCTATACTCACCTGTATATAGCACTTGACATGCTACATGCTACTCTGTCATCTTGTTTCTCTTTTTATTCCCTAATTGATTGTAATTGCCTTTAAAAAAAGATCCTGGTGAGACAATACACTGTCTGAAATATAGCACATGCTCAATAAACATTCACTGGATTAATGAATGTTTCTCATTTTTTGCAGGTGTGCTTATTGGCATTCCAGACTGCACCAAAGCATATAGACCCATACCACATCAATATTTGCAATTCTCCACCAAGTGACAAAATTCACATTTCTCTTTGACATACTTCCAAAAGCATACCAAACCTATCCTGAGAAAAACAGTGTCTTACCTTCTAAATCCTCTTTCTCAAAGTGTGTTTTGAGAATAGAGCGAGTTCCACCTCTATCCACAACTGCCTCTTCATCATTTCTCTGTAAAATGGAAAGAAAGAAGATTGATAACATACTGTCTTAATTTAAAAACATAAACCTTAATATTATTTAATATTTAGGAGTTTCAGTCACTTAAATTGAGTAGACTATTTGATAATCAAGTGTTGGTTTATAAAGGAGAAAATAACTACTTTACCACACATTTCAGAGAAAGAATGTCATGTAACTTTCCATGACATCAAAGGCAGTCAAAAATTCCAGTTGGTGGGGCCAGTAATGTGGCATGGTGGGTAAAGGTGTCACCTGCAATTCTGACATACCATATGGGCACCAGTTTGAGTCCTGGCTGCTCCACTTCACATCCAGCTCTCTGCTATGGCCTGGGAAAGCAGTGGAAGATGGTCCAAGTCCTTGGGTTCCTGGACCTGCATGGGAGATTGGAAAGAAGCTCCAGGCTCCGGGCTTCAGATTGGCTCAGCTCCAGTTGTTGGGGCCATTTGAGGAATGAACCAGCAGATGGAAGACCTCTCTCTCTCTCTCTCTCTCTCTCTCTCCTCCCTCTCTCTCCCTCTGCATCTTTTTTTTTTTTTTGACAGGCAGAGTTAGACAGTGAAAGAGAGACAGACAAAGAGAACATAGAGAAAGGTCTTCTTTCCATTGGTTCACCCCCCAAATGGCCACTATGGCCGGTGTGCAGCGCCGATCCAAAGCTAGGAGCCAGGTGCTTCAACTTGGTCTCCCATGCGGGTGCAGGCGCCCAAGCATTTGGGCCATCCTCCACTGCCTTCCCAGGCCACAGCAGAGAGCTGGACTGGAAGAGGAGCAACCGGGACAGAATCCGGTGCCCTGATGGGGACTAGAACCTGGGGTGCCGGTGCCGCAGGTGGAGGATTAGCCTAGTGAGCCGCGGCACCAGCCATTTTTCTCTCTCTTATTTTTTTTGTCCCTCTGCATCTTGGTAACTATGACTTTCAAATAAAATAAATAAATCTTTTAAAAAAATTCCAGTTGGCATCATTTGTTGGATAAAAACCAGAAAAAAAATAGTTAGCCTATCAATTTAGCAACATGCATTTTTATCCTTTCCTGATGAAGAGCTCATGTTAACAAGATGACACTTTGAACTAGATAAGGACAATTTGTGAAAATCATTAGCATTAATACCACTAATACTAAGGGAAGGTAAAATATTTCCATTACAGTAAAATGGAGTTGGGGAATCTAACCCCTGGAAACTAATGAGTGGCAATCATTAGGTAAATGATAAACCTAATTACTTTATTCTATGTAATGCATTTTATTTAAACTAAAGAGTAAATTACGATTGTGTATATTGAACCTTTTGACAATTTAGAATGGCTGGGCAAAGATTATGTGCTCTGAACATTGTACACATTCTCAAAACAATATACTCAGTAATTTGGCATGCAATAAAATAATAAGTAGGAGTTGAGTATAATCCATTTTAACCATGCAAGAATATGCAAAACATAAAACACTGAATGAATCGAAATATAAATTATTTCCAACATTTATCTGGTTGTGAACCTTTATGTAGAAATTCCCTTTAAAATGAATATTCTGCACTAAAGAAGGAAAAGATAAAGATGAATGACACTTCCAGGATCTATTTCTAAGTCTACTTTAGTATATTACAATTGGAAGATGATTTCTGTTTCTTCTTCAAAAGTCAAAGATTATGCTATAGAAGAGGGAAAAAAACAAACTGTGCTTATATCCATCAACTACGTTGGAGCATGAAACACTGGAATTAACATTATTTCATTAAGGAAGCATCCTTTGACTAACTGACATAAATGAAATACTGAAATGAAGAGTTATGAGAATCAAGGAAGAAAGAAATTGTTTTCCTTTAAGGCCATGGATAGAATTAAGGGGAGTACGAGGAGAAAGGCCAATGTGTCAATGTTGGAGAATTCTTATAAATAGGGCACATGACGTGAGGATGAAAGAAATGAAAGAATCAATAAAGTCAAACTACAAATAGGCATTTTAAAAAGAAAAAATAATTTTCCATTTTTTAAACTTTTATTTAATAAATTTCCAAAGTACAAATTTTGGATTATAGTGGTTTTTCCCCCTATAGACACCCTCCCACCTGGAACCATCCCGTTTCCCACTCCCTCTCCCATCCCATTCTTCATCAAGACTCATTTTCAATTATCTTTATATACAGAAGATCAATTTAGTATATACTAAGTAAAAATTTCAACAGTTTGCACCCACACAGAAACACAAAGTATAAAGTACTGTTTAAGTACTAGTTATACCATAATTCATAGTACAACACATTAAGGATAGAGATCCTACATGAGGAGTAAGTGCACAGTGACTCCTGTTGTTGATTTAACAACTGACACTCTTATTTATGACATCAGTAATCACTCTAGGCTCTTGTCATGAGCTTCCAAGGCTATGTAAGTCTCCATTGTTTTTATACTTTTGTTAGAATGATCATAGGTAACCTTGAGAGAGCTAATATACGGGGAAAAAATGTCAAAGTCAAAATCTAATCAAGCAGAATCTAAAGAGGTAATCTATGAAGAAGAAATGAGGGAAGAAATACAAGTGTTGCCTTGAAGACCACGCTGATAATCTTCAGGAGTCACTTGCACTACTTCTCTTCACTTCTAGACTTATAAATAGACTGAAGTCCCTTTGGGCTCCAGAAATTTAGATGTAAAAGTGATCAACGAGGAGTTGTTAGATTTCAAAATACCTGCAAGATTTTTCCAATTTCTTTCTTTTTTTTTTTTTTTGACAGGCAGAGTTAGACAGTGAGAGAAAGAGACAGAGAGAAAGGTCTTCCTTCTGTTGGTTCACCCCCCAAATGGCCACTATGGCCAGCGCGCTGTGCCCATCCGAAGCCAGGAGCCAGGTGCTTCAACTTGGTCTCCCATGCGGGTGCAGGCGCCCAAGCATTTGGGCCATCCTCTACTGCCTTCCTGGGCCACAGCAGAGAGCTGGACTAGAAGAGGAACAACAGTGACAGAACAGGCGCCCCAACCGGGACTAGAACCCGGGGGTGCCAGCACCGCAGGCAGAGGATTAACCTAGTGAGCCACGGCGCCAGCGATTTTTCCAATTTCTGCAGATAGATATCTAGTAGGAAGTATGTGTGAAAATGGATACCAAGGATATGGTATAATGATAGAAAATATGCAAAGTTGGCTGAGGTTGAATTTACTGCCAGATCCACTAAGCAGAAATCCTAGATTAATTATTATATTCCAGGGTTAGAAAGGGCTCTAATAGTTTGAATGATTGGCTAAAACATGAACCAAAAGATTGGCTATACTAAATGAAGTCAAAATGTCAGAACTACTTTGGTGTACTATGGAAGAGAGTATTTAAAGGCTTAGAGAGATGGGAAATGTTAGAGAACATTTATCGTAAGATCTGCTTACCCATGCCAGAGACACATCTTTCATCTTGACTGTGGAAATAAATTTATGAGAAAAAATTTCTTGAGGTCTGTAGTATCTCTTCTTGGGCAAGTCAGGAATTAATAATGGGAGTTGCTATTACCAAAACACAATTTTTAACTGCTATGATAATAATTGGATCCCAAGCGGAAGTGGCCAACTGACAAAACCTAATCACCAAAGACAAGACAGATGTGGCTACCATTATGCGTATAGTCAAAATAGTAATCAGAATAGTCTGATTCACGGAGACCTATGGTATAGGGTAGTTAATTGAAGTATCCCTAGGAGAGAAACAAGTGAGAAGCCTACTACACTCTTTTTTTAATAAAAGATTTATTTACTGGGGCCAGTGCTTTGGTGTAGAGGGTAAGGCCACTGCCTGTAGTGCCAGCACTTCATATGGGCTTTGGTTCTAGTCCCAGCTGCTCTACTTCTTATCCAGCTGTCTGCTATGGCCTGGGAAAGCAGTATAAGATGGCCCAAGTCCTTGGGCCCCTGCACCCATGTAGGAGACCAGGAAGAGTCACCCAGCTCCTGGCTTCGGATAGGCACAGCTCCAGCCGTTGAGGCCATTTGGGGAGTGAACCAGTGGATGGAAGACCTCTCTCTCTCTCTGCTTCTCCTTCTCTCTTTGTATAACTCTGACTTTCAAGTAAATAAATAAATCTTAAAAAAAAAAAAAAAGACTTGGTGTCTGGGACCATATTTAAAAAAAAAAGGTTTATTTATTTAAAAGGCAAAATTACAGAGAGGCAGAGGCAGAAAGTGGAAGAGGGGGAGGGGGAGCGAGAGGGAGGGAGGGAGGAGGAGAGGGGGAGGGAGAGAGAGACAGAGACAGAGAGAGAGAGAGGTATAGGATGCCAGCACTGCAGGTTGTGGCTTTACCTACTAAGGCACAGTGCCGGTCCCCTACTAAATTCTTAATTTGATAATCAAAACAGTTGTAGGTCAAGTGAGCAGAAACCTAACTTGAATTGTCAAAGCAAAAAGTCATGGCCTCCAAATCAATTTCCATCCTTCAACAAATTTACAGACCAAGAACCCTTGGGTGAAGAAGAGATCAGTTCCACTAGAGGAAAGACCCTGAACACTGTCAAAGATTTATAGTCTTTCTCACAGCCTTCTCCAAAACACTTACCATGTTTTACCAGGGTGATTGTGCTTAAGGAAATGGAAATAATCAGATTGGAAGGGATTAATTGACAATGGCCCTGAACTGTTGCTAAGCAAAGCAGCCTGCAAATGTCACGGCGGTCTGCTCACCAGAGTAGAGCTTTATGGATAGCAGTTAATCAAAAAAGTTTTAGCTCAGTTTCATCTCACTGTGAGTCTAGTGGATTCCTGAATACATTGTGGTTATTCCCAATTCCAGAATCAACAATTTATAGAGACAGTTTTTAGAGAAACCTTCAAAATTAAGAGTAATTGTCTTTTCAACAATTAGATCTTTTTATATCTGAAGACTAAACGGAAGGGGTCAATACAGAAAAGAACTGAGATGCCACTGAAGAATTAAACAAAAAAAATCCCCCTGGCTCAGGTGCCAGGAAAGGATATAATAGCTATCTATAGAATAAGCTATTAGCATTA